AAGATTCAAAATGTTCTTTTGATACGTCAAAGTCAAAAGGCAATCGTCCGTTACACCTTTCGCTACATCGAGAGCGTAAGTAATTCTTTACGATCGTTTTTAAAAAGCAAATAGATCGATCGAAATCGGCGTAAGCCGAGTGGCCGCCCAAGACAAAACCATGGAAAACGAAGAGAAATCTCGTGGCAAATTATGCAGATTGACAGAGATTTGCATTCGCTTAGCATACACCCCGATCGTTGCAACGAGCGCCCACACTCTGTAGACTTTCATCTGTTTACCATACAAAAAATATACCCTATCTAATCCGGATGGATCTTGCGGTTGGAGTTGCTCTCACGGCACCTTGTCTTATCCCGATCGCTCTCCGAGAATCTCAAAGAATCAATTCGTTCAGCGATCTCACGTTTTTACTTTAACGGATTCCCCTAAAGAATTTTCATCCTTTCGAGAACTAATCAATCTAATCTATTTCATTTACAATTAAAATGAACTATACCGTGAATACTTTTAAAAGTAATCAATTGCACGATGGAAATAATACGAAATATAAGATTAACAAAAGGACTTAGGTAATACTACAGTTTTTATTAATGACAGAAAGAAAATATTTTCGATTCAATTAAATGAAATATATGTAGGGCCATAAAACTACGCGATAAGTTCGATCACTAGTAAGTATTCACGAAACATTCATTAGTAAATAAATAAAAACATTCTGTAATAGCAAGAGATTAATACATACAGAGGGTATGATATTTACACCATGAAACGATATATTTCTTGACCAAGATTTATATTCGTTGTATTTCTCATAATATTGTAAAAAAGCAAATAAATGAAAAAAAAAAAAAAAAAAAAACAAAAAAGAAAAAAATGTTAGTAACTTGTCGCTTTGACGATATAATAGCTCGGTTCATTAGCGTAACTATAGAATCGAAAGAAACAAAAGAAAAAGAAAAGAAGAAAGAAAAGAAAAAAAGATTTGCATTCCTATGAAATACGTACTTATGCATATTTATATACATAGTTAACTATGTATGTAAGTAGTCGTGCGTACGCGTAATATACATTTTAGCGCGTGCGAGCGACAGCTGGTTTGCTCACGAAACGAGAGAGACGGTACCGGCGCGCTCGAATTTTGCAAGTCGACCGATATAACGCGGCAATTACCCGACACGCGGAACCCTTCCGTAAAAGGGAAAACGCAGGTTAAGGAATCATGTCCATTCTCAAGGTCGACCGGTATCCTACCGGCTCTCTTACCGCGGACTGCATAACGCGTTTCTATTACGCGGTCAATTGCGGCGATTGTTGCGTGTCTCTTGCAATCAGTGCCTCGTCCGTAGCTACACACCACTGCTTTCTCCTTCTCCGCTTATCTTACGCTCGCCCTTTCTCCTTTCTCTTCCTCCTCCTCCTCCTCCTCCTACTTCGAACGGGAAACCTCTTTCTTCTGTTCAGTACCCTCACCGTCACAGCATCTCACTGTCTCTTTCTCTCTTTCTCTGTTTTCTTCATTCTACCATTTATCATCCTTTCCAAATTTTTCTCTTTATACGTCTTGTTACGTAGATTAGAAGAAGGTTGCCTATTGTTTTTTTCTTAAATTTTTTTAGACCGTTACAAAAAATGTCATAAAATGATTCGGAGGGATTGAAAGGTATATTAGTATTAGTCTAAAGGTATAATAGAAGTAATCTGTTATTAATTCTTTCATCAGTATAACATGACATCTAAGGTATTGTTAAAAAATTTGCCAATATTTATTTTACAGAAAATCATAATGATTCTACTTGGATTTATTTACACGAATCAATAACATCGTTTAAGTTTTTAAAATAAATATAAACCACTTCTTTCTTTTTGTTTTTTAAGTAAAACTTCTTCAATCATTAAATTACTCGAATAGATCTCACAGTCTAATAAGTTCCTAGATGATATGTTCTAAATGATCTAATTATCGTAATAAAAAAGTAAATTGTCTTCTTATAGTAAATTGTCTCTTAAATATTATCGACTTTGCACTCTATAAAAAAAAAAGAAAAAAAAAACTCTATATCAACTTACCTACTCCTTTCTATCTTATATTCTTGATCAGGTTAGAAGTAAGTTTCGGAGCAACGAGGAAAAAGAAAAACAGAGATAACGACAGAAACAGAGACAGAGACAGAGACAGAGAGAGAGAGGGAAAGGGAAAGAACGAGGTCGTTCGGTGGTATCACGAGCGTTATCGGAGATCGAAGAACGTTTTAGTCGTGGCAATAATCGAATCGACCTCGGGTCAGAAGCAGCATCGACGTACTCGACGTCCTTGGCCAGAGCCGGCAGATGGTCGGCAAGACGTTGCTCGGTGCAGCGCACGGTACACACCGACGTTGCAAACTCGTATTCGTGGATGTACGGTCTAACTTACGAGGCAACATCTCGTTTCTTTCGAACTTGCGTTCGTGAATGCGCGCGCGCGCGCGAGTTTGAAAGAGAGTGTATGTGAGTGAGAGAGAGAGAGAGAGAGAGAGAGAGAGAGAGCGCTCAACGAACAAGAGCAAGAGAAAGATCGTGGGCGCCTCGAGTACCTCGAGAAGCACGAGAATTTCCTCGAGGGTGTATCGTATCGTCGTTGCTTCTTCTCGAACGACAACTTTACCAGCCCCCATCCCTTCTCTTCTTCTATCTCCACCTCGTACTCCTTGTATGAGAACACCATGTATTTTCACGGCTAGATAGATCCTCAGCTAAAAATATTCATAGTTTCTCTTCAACTTATATCGTTAGATATTATTCATTTGAATATTTCGCATTGGAAAGACTTGTCAAAATTGTATCATGTTCTTTTTTTTTTTGTTTGCAAAAGATAGATACTTTTTATTTTAATTTTTTTATATTACGTAATAATTCCATATAGATTGTAATTATTTATATAATCACAAAATGACAAATAATCGCTGTTACATAGCAAGTCAAGTATCATATAACCCATATATTGTACAATTAAAAGCTCTCTAATCTATCGTACTACATAGTACAATTCAAAACATATGATAGTACGATTTAAAAAGCATGATACATTTTTTTTTAAATTGAATATAATTTTTGTAATAATATTAATATGTATATCAATTAATATGTATAACAATACTTACATCTTTAAAATACTTATAAAATGCAAGAAAAACAATATTTATATATTTTCACTTTTTAAATCTCGTTCCTGTTTTTTCTTTTTTTTTTTTTTTTTTTTTTTTTTTTACTTTATAGTACAATAAAACAAAAATTGAGCGAGATAAAATTTAAGTGACTGGTACGCATTTAACAGCTCTTCCTTATTTTACTCAGTTTCTTAAGGTGAAAGTAAAAGGACTTTGAAAAATATACTGCCTATAAAACGGTGATAGATAAAACACCTACGTGTAGATTTTCATGAATATAATAAATGTAGTAGCAATAAAGTAGGTTAAATGGAATAGAATGGAAGAGATTGTGTTGGATCGATTCGACGAGATTTTTTTTGATTTTTTGTTCGTTTTTTTTCCTTTTTCTTAATTTAATCGCTAAAACAAATAACAGTGTTTAATTTTAATCGACTCTCGACGAACGCGTTGACGAGAAAAAATTTATCCCGATAACGTCGTTGTTTCACGATCGAATCTCAATTATTTATCGTGTCTCTAAATCACATCGTTGAACTAATTTTAATATCGCGAAAGGCGTCGTCGTCTACATTCCAGTCGCGAAACAGGAAGAACACGGCATATTTTCGCTTCTACTCGTTCATATAAATCGCTAACAGTCTCGCTTTATCACTTTCTCGATATACCGATGAGATTAGCGATACCAGCCAATTCTGTGGAAAAAGTATCACCTTACTCTTTCGTAAGACGCATTCGTAACTTTAATATTCCTTTCAAGGTGGATCCAGAATCATGTTTCCTCGTTAACTCGATTCTGCTCCCATTCATCATCTATAATTTTACATTCCACGAGTAACGCGTTCCGATTCTTAAACTGGAGGTCCAAGAAAGAGAATCATCTCTCGTGATTTTAATAAAAGAAAATGTATCTTTCGTTAAATACCTTAATATATATTGTTACCAATATACGAGGAATCCCACTTTCAAAAAATACGAAACAAAGTTTGTAGGAACCCGATATAAGAAGAAATACAGTTAGGATTTAAATAGAACACTTTGTTTTCTCTTTGTTTTCTCTCCAGAGATCTCGCAAATGTCATAAAGAAGACGTCGAAGAAGAGAAAAAAGAAAGAGAATGGCACATTATAGAAATGCCCTTGATGCGGCATCGATGTTAAGGTCAACCAGATATACACGATACGGAAACGTTATCCACGGGGCGATCAAAACTCTGTCTGTGTAGTTAGTTTTCCTGAAAAAATGCAAACTCGGGTAATAGCAGGAATCGCCGTTGGAAGCTAAGAAAGTAGAAATGCAAGAAGGAACGGATAAATTTGCAAACGGTGCAAATGGTTAGTGCGATGCGCCGTTAGAGAGTAGAAAAATAAATTCAAGCGAGACAGGGATTCAGGGCATAGAAAGGTAGAGAAATAGAGAGACGGAGAGAGAGAGAGAGAGAGAGAGAGAGAGAGAGAGAAGGATAATAGACATAGATTGCGGGAGTCGTAGGAGAAGACAGAAGAGAAAGAAAGGACGAGAGAGAGAGAGAGAGAGAGAGAGAGAGGAAGAGAGGGAAGAAGTGGGGGTAAGAGGTCCACAGAAGTGGAAGAAACGAAGCGGGTAGAGCGGTCGTTTGCCTTGGATCGAGGTTCGAAGCAGCACAGCGGCGGCGGCGGCGGCGGCGGCGGCGGCGGCGGCGGAGTCCGATCCCGATTTCGAAGCCGCCTCGGCTTTCCGCCGCGCGCATTCCATTTCTCTCTTCGCCTCTGTACGCCTTCGTTCGTCGGTGGCCGCCTCTATTCGGACGAGTTCGCCGATTATCGGCCGGACTCGGCTTGTTACCGGCTCGATCTATGCTCTCGACCATCTTCGGCAACAGTCGTGCATCGGCGCTCGCTCGGAGTGGATCGCCGGTTCTTGTGGTTTCCTCGCAAGTTGCCGACAGAATGGCGGTGATGTCGCTGCTGTTGGCGCCGTTCTCGCCACGAGACGACGACGACGTCGAGGGACGCTCTTTTGCGCGTTGACGTTCTATTCTCTTGATCGTGATCGACCTTTACTTTATTACGTTTTATTTCTTTAATCATTCCCGAGTATTGTTTCTTCGACATTGTTAACTCGCGTTAAAAAAAGGAAAAAAAAAAAATAAACAGCATAAAGAAAAATACAAAGAAAGAAAGAAAGAAAGAAAAGGACAAAAATCGCGCGATAAAGAAAGAAAGATCTTTTCGTATTTCTATATCTCTGTCGTTTTCTTTGACTCTTTCTTTCACTCACCTTATATCCTTCGTACTCTTTTCCGTGTGACGTGGGTTGTGTATAGTGGGTGTGCTTCGTTCCTTCCTTACTACAGAAATATATATATATATGTGTGTACGTATGTATATATATATATGCACGCACTTTTCCCTTTGCCATTCTTTTCCTTCGCGAATTTAAAGTGATCCTTTCTCGAATTTCCTGTGGAAGAAACACCGTCGTCGATCGAGCTCCGAAGAAAACGACGAGTGGCTTGGATAAAGCCACGAAGAGAGCTACTTACATCGAGAGAACTCCTCCGGCGAGAGAATCAACAGGTGGGAACCTGCTTGCTCACAGGTACTTATTCTTCCTTTTCCTTGCCGCCACCTGGCAACGCGAGTGCGAAAGAAAGATGAAAGAACGTCTTCGCCGATTGGACTTCATTTTCGATTCTTCAACCATTTTCTCGAAGCTTTTAACGTACATAACAAACAACTTGTTTATTTATTTCGATTATCCGTTCTTTCGTTCTCTCCATTAGACTTAAATCGTCGCACGATTATTCTCAATGTTTCTTTAACATTCACGCACAGCGTGAGAAGGCACGATAGAAATAACGTTCGTTTCTTCGCACGTTTGTTTAATTAACTCGACTCGCGTTAATGAATATTTATACGATTACGGTATCGTAATTACGATATCCATGTAGAAAAATTGTAGAAATATTTTATAAAATATTTCAAACCGTAGGAAACTCGTCATTTCACACCGGAGAATTGAACGCACTTTCTTTAACCTTTCGTACTTGGCTTTAAACGTCCAGAGCGCTCTTTGAAAAGTTTTTTTCTCAAATTTGTATTTTTTTTTTGAAGGATTGTAAGATTGTCGTCAACGTAACGGGGATTCGTCTTTTGTACATGTTTCTTCTTCAGCGATAAAACAACGGCTCCATGAATTTTAACAAGTTCCTCTCCTTCTTCTTCTTCTTCTTCTTCTTTTGCGCGAGTAAGTTAAAGATAACGATCCTTACCGGATCTCCGGCGTCCGCGCATTTTCTCGTGAGCACAACTACGAGGGGGTTACAATGAGAGCAGGATATAAAGGAACGTTGTTTCTTTTCTTGTTTTACGTGTATTATTGTCGTTTGAAAAGAAAATAATAATCGATTACGGATATACGCAAATTCATGTCATTTACAAATAAAATCGATTCTGTTACGATAAATAATCGAGGCTTAATGATCTACCTCTCTTCATCCTAATTAAATCATCATCCGTTCCTATCGTGAAGAAATCATTTCTATCGTCCTGTTCTGTCTAAATTATTGTTTTACGAAAATAAAGGATTACGAGAAAGAGGATCGATAACAGGCATTCAGAAATTTATGCGATTCGATTGAAATATGGCGAATTTTGTTATGGTGAGATACACAAGGCTTTAAGATTTATCTCTCTTTTCGTCCTAAATAAATCTTCATGCATTCCTTGCGATAAGAAAATCTTTCCTCCTTCTTTCCTCCTGTTCTACGTGAATTATCGTTCAGCGAAAAGAAAAAATAATAATAATGAAGGAGAATCGATCACGTGCATTCATACATTTATGTGATTGAAATATGGTGAATTTTACTATGATGAATATTCGACGCTTAAAGATTAATCTCTCCTTTCATTTTAATTAAATCTTCATGCATACCTTTCGACATAAAATGGCTTATTTCCTTTTATACCACACGAATTATTGTTCTAAGAAAATAAAGAATTAAGAAAAAAGATCGATTATATCGGTATATAAAAATTTGATATGATTTAATTAAAATGTAGTGATTGTTGTTATTAATTAATGTTAATTTTTGTTAATTAACGTGAATTTTATTAATTAAAATTTTGTGAACAGACAATATTCAAAGATTCATCTTTTTATTCTAAATAAATTTTCTCATACATTCCTTTTGGCAAAAAAATGTTGTTTTTTTTTTTTTTTCTTTCTTTTGTTCTATGAGAATTATTACTGTGCGAATAAACATCATTATGAAAGGAAACAAAATATCGAAGTTTAGCAATTAATATTATTTAATGAAAATATGGTTTTTTTTTTTTCTTTTTTTTTTTTTTTTTTTTTTTTTTTTTGAAGGTACACTCTAGACTCAATGATTCATCTTATTAACCCGAATAAATCTTCATATGTTCCTTAAGATAAGAGAATTTAATTTCTTTCCTTACTGTTACACGTGAATGATTGTTTCACGCGAGAAAAAAAAACAAATTAAAAATGGGTACAGTTTATTGACATTGAAAAATGTATGCAATATAATTAAAATATACAGAGTGAACGCCAAAAGTTTTTTTAGGTGGGCCAAATGATCATTCTTAATTGGAGAAATCAATTATACCTTCTCAAGACATTTAGGCCAATTTTTTTTCAGATTATAAAAAAAGCTTCTGAACTTATAGTTTTATTGTTTGAAAAAAATTTAGCCTAAAAAGTTTATAAAAAGAGTAATTGATTTTTTAAGATCACCTAGAATTCTTTGGACCGTTTACTACATAAAGAATAAATTTCATTAATTATATTCATTTTTTAATGATTCATTTTTTATACGAATTAAATTCTCATGGATTTATTTCTATATATATGTGTGTGTATGTACGTACGTACGAAAAAAATCATTATCGCGGCCTTTGAAAGATTTAGATAATATTTTATAACCAAGAAACGTAAGCGTATTCGTGGATAGAAAAGAAAGACAAGAATTGCTACGCGTGCAGCAACACGATCGCGCTAAGCCGCCATTAGCGACACGCTCGACATTCTCTGGATATTTTTCTCACACAAACTAAAAGAACGGAGTAGCGTCCGCGAATAGGCGATTTTCCGGCACGCACGTCCTCCCGTTCGATCATGTATCGTAATTTTATTTTTGTACAAAAAATTGATCGATTAATGATACGTTATAAGATCAATTGTAATTGTCGTGGATTTTCCGCGTGTTTTGACCTTGAATTCTTTCGACTCGAGAAAACCTTGAACTTTTCTCCGATCGAAATTCCATATGAAAATTCTTCATTGATTTTATTTAACTTATTAAAGATAATATAAATTCATTTGGAGAATTTTCGTGCAACTTAATGTCCATGAAACATCGAGAAATTATTAACATTTTTATACAGAGAAATCATAAAGAACATTGAGAGAAAGTGTTTTATTCCATATGTATATATATGTACATCTCATTACATATGTATATACATATATATATATATATATCTCATATACATCTCATTGCCTATATTTATATCGTTCGGACAAAGAGATGGTAGTCCAAGCGTAAAAAGTTTTTAGAACATCGTACGTAAGTATGTTATACATATATTAAAGCAAAAAACCTAAGATATTCATTTTAACATTTCACCTTGATGCCTAACTTGAAAGATATTCTTTATATTATTAACGATTTTAATGATTCATAAAGACTTTTTCTTATAGTAATACAAAGTAAATCTTATTAATGCAGGTCATTTTAAAGAGAGAAGAGAAAAATTGCAAGAGAGAGAGAGAGAGACGGAAAGAAATTTACATTTTCATTCTTCCAAATTCGAAAAAAAAGACGTGTGTAAAGGTATAATGGAAAGGGAAATTGTATGGTTCGTCTCTATTTCACGCTTTCGTCGCTTATTATCTGGCGGTCGCGTTGTTGTTTCGTTGTCTCTTCTTTTCTCCTTTCGAGAGAACATACAAAACAAGCTCGTTTATCGAGGTAGAGGAGCGTACTACGAAACACGTTTAGCATAGTAGTTTTCGAGACGGCCTTGACAGGAATATTCGTAGGTACGCTGTATTTTAAAGATATTCGCTTTACTGTATATAGGATCGAGGACGACAAAAGTTAACCGCGGAGGGTTCTCGTTTTCCTCTTGTTCGTTCTATGGCAATCGAAGGCTTCTCTCTCTCTCTCTTCCTCTCTCATGAATGAATCATGACTACCTTTAAGAACGAAGAATTCTGCCGTACGAGGAGAACGCTCACTTACAGGTACGAGCATCGATGCAGGTAGCTACCTGCGGTTGTTAATTATGGACGAGCAGACGTACGTAGCTATGGCATCCGAGAGGGTCCAAACGTAACGCTTATTAAAATACCATCAGCCAAATGCGTCGATCTTCGTGCTCTTGCTCTTAGGTCGTGACCCTTTTCCTACTCCTCCTTCGTTCTTTTTTCTTTTTTTTTTTTTTCTTTTTTCTTCTTTCCTTTTTCTTTTCTGACTCCTCGAAAGGGTGGGTAGTAGGGAGAACGTCGCTCGTGAAAGCTCGACACGTTACTTTAATACTTGTTACAAAGGTAACCCTTCATAAAAAAGAAGATGAAAGTGATGTCGAATTTTGCAGTTTTATGACTTACCAAGATGCTTCCCGAGATGAATAAAGGAAAAGAAGAAAAATATGAGGAGATGGAGAAGTTTGCAAGGTACTTTCCGTATGAGAGAAAAATTGTGCTGTCTCATTATTTGCACGACTTTGCTGCCGGCGTACTACGAATGGCGATTGTTATTCCTACGGCACGACCATTGTTCCGTGTACGCCATCGCCTTCTTGCGACGGGCCGGCTTCGGTCTCTTGCACGAGTTCGTGCCGTCTCTATCGTCTCCTTGTGTTGTTGCGTTTTTGTCATTGTATCGTCGTTTTCCCGTAAACGTCGCGAGAGATACCCCGTGACTATCCATGCCCGCGAACTCGTATCCGTAATATATTTTCTATTTTTCTTTTTCTTTTTTCTATTTCATTTTATTTTTATTTACTTCATCATACCGGATTTGCAACGGGTTCTTTTACACATGCTCGCTATCGATTCGTTCCAAGAACTTTTTCGATTGAAAAACTTTTCTTTCTTTCTTTCTTTCTTTCTTTCTTTTGTTTTTTTTTTTCTAACGATACAAAACTCGATAATATCCAGATAATTTCTATTCGGGAAAAATATAATCTCGATTTCGATGAAACGAACTAATCTCGATCATAATGTTCAGCCATTGTAGCGACAATCGGCCGTCCTCAGGGAGCGTAGGTGAAATGCGATTACCTCGAAAAGAGCACACAACGTGCGTTGCTCAATTGGCTGCCTTCGTGTGCGGGAGGTCTCTCTTCGATTATGACAACGCGCGATAGTGGGCGAGTGTCTAGCCAGATGTAGGTTCTTAGCCCTGATATATGTTCGCTCCTCTCTCAACGATTAAATTTCAAATGGAAACATTCTCCAGTAAATTTAAAATATTATTTATGTAATCGTATAGAATGATTGTGAAAGGAAATAATTTTTTCTTCTTCCTCTTCTTCTTCTTTCATTTTTTAAATTATAAATATAGACGAATATACATACATACGTCGCATTCTCTTTTCTAATCTAATCACACGTTGTAATATCTATGGACAGGCTTCTCCTTTAAATTACGTTTTATGCGACTATATCTTAGCAACAAAATATGTCTAATGGAAGCGGTACACTCGTAATGAGACGCATTTTAGGGTCGATAAAATATACTTCGAAGTGGAAAAGACGAACGATTGTCCTACTTTGATGAACCGTATTACGCGAGATAGATTTGAATATATAAGTTTCAACTATAACTCATATTTTCATCCGGAACTTTCATGGAATAGATATGTTCAATTACATATATTCACGTGTCTGTGTGTATATTTGTGCGCGCGTACGTAGTTATGTAGAACACATAATTCGTTCTTACAACTTTGTTTTTCTTCGTTTCTATGATTTAACATGTTGTCTACCACGATAGTCACCATAACCATAGCCTGTTTCCTCAATAGAATCATGATGGTCACTGAGGATTACTAAATTTTAAAAGTGCTATTAAATTTTAAAAGCTAATTACTGTTAGTCAAATACCATCGAATAGAAAATGTTTAATAACTCATATAACTATATAACAGTATAAAGTAACAAATTTTCCGATTAATAATTATTATTAATAATTTTCGTTTCTCCTATGAATTGAATAATATAATTTTAAATAAATACAAAAGTTTAATCTTTTTATTGATAACGTACATACGCGTCAATTAATGTTTTGATTATTAGTGATCATTTCATTTCAATTCTTTGGTTTAAAAGTTAACAAACATAATATTTAACAAAAATTACATTTTACAATTATTTTTACAAATTTTTACATTTTTAATGTACTTTTCTTTTCTCGCAATTTTCTTACAAAAAATTTGATACATTTAGTCAACTAAAATGTTATCATAAGTAACCGAGTATAGTCATATTTAATTATACTACACAACGATTTGTCATTACATATAATAATAAAAATTTTACTCTATCCCGAAGGATAAAAGAAAAAAAATCGAACAAAAAAATAAGCAGGAAAGTTAATGAGTATTTATGATCGGGATGTTTAAAGATCCAAATCGTTAAAAATTTTGTTCAAGTATAATGGACCGAACAAAGAGTTAAATCTCGAATGAAGCATATTCTGTATTTTCTTTTCTTTTCCTTTATTTTTTTTTTCTACACGGTGCATACGAATGTACCTTATACCTACGTTGTAGACGTAAAGAAAGATGCGGGGGTGGGAGTAGACGAGACCGGATGTCCTTCGTGAAAGAGAAAGAGAAAGAACCGAGTATGAGAAGGAAGCGAAAAAAGAGAAAGAGAGACAGCAGAGAGAGAGAGAGAGAGAGAGAGGGAAAAGAAGGAAAGCGAGATGGTGCACGCGCAGGCTAACCCATTTCGCATTAATATTCCCGTTGGCAGGCAATAGCCATTGAAATTGCGAGGTTCCAGAGCGGGCATAATCGGGGAACGGTCCGTAATCTTGGGAATCGATACGAGCGCCCATTTGTTGTGCTGAAGCTATATCTATAGAGAAAGAGAGAGAGTGAGAGAGAGAGAGAGGGAGGAAGGAAGAGGGATGGTAAAAGAGAAGGAGGAAGAAGGTGGAAGGCGGCGTAGATATTCATGTAGATGCCCTCGGCTATCGGCGGTAAGCGTACTACGACCGTTCGTTTGCCTTCGCCTTTGATTTCGTCATTCTTGAAAAACGGTGAACGCGTATAAAAGATCTTTCGAACGAATTCCTTTGTAAAGTGAGATCTTGGAATAGCCCCAGGGATGGGGATGATAATATTAATAAATCTTCTTCTTTAAATTAAAGATCACGGCTATTAATAAATGTTGAGATCAACGGGAATTTAACTTTAATATTATTTTATTATCATTTTTATCATCTTTTGTTTTGTAATTTTTTTCTCTTTTTAATTTTATATCTACATAAATCAATATAATATTGTAGAACTCTGTCGATATATTTTTATTTTAATCGTACAATAATAATTAATAAACAATATATATGTATAACTTGTTCAGATAACATAACGTTTAGGTTAAAGAAGAATTTTGATAGAAATGATGAGATAAGAGATTTTTGAGTGATAAAGCGTCTACTGTAGAGTTTTTATTGACAATAAGACAATATTGCTTACTAGATTGTATTTATCAACATTAGTAATTCTAAAAAATACATTCAAGAAACGATTGATAAGATGATATTATGCAACATTCATATATATATATACATATATCCGAGATTATTCCGGAAAGTACCTGACATTATACTCGAACCTTATACCTGGGTGTGCTATTGTTAAAAATAGATATCTATCATTTAGAAAGGACCTTTATGAGTGTCCTTGTCAGGCAGCACCGTCCTTCAAGTCCTCAGTCGACAACGATACGCTGTTGAGTAAACGTTGAATTTCGTATGCGTCGCATTTCACTATATTTCATGTATAAAAAATAAAAGTACAACTTATTAAAAGTATCGATATTATAGAGTTACCTGCCATTTATATACGTATCTATATAAATACATAATGTACATGAATATGTACTTACTTATTACTTCCAGAGAATATAATGGTGTTATCTATAAAAGTTATATTTTATTGTTGTTTAATCAAGAGGATAAAAAAGATTTTGCTCGATGCTATATTGCATCGTCATTTCTTGCTTGCATAAGATGACCTTCGATTTCGTACAGATCTTGAACGAGGATGGACATTAGAGAGAAGAAACAGAAGAAGAATGTCCAGAGATCGATGATCTTTCTTCGTGAAAGTAAAACCGAAGAAAATTTCTTCTGGGATCGAAGGACGCGTCCGATTCGACACAGTGTCGAGAGCAACCATATACAGTCACCCAAATCCTTTTCCACTTGGCCTATTTGTTCGTCTTGGCGTGCCGGATCGCGCGTGGCACGCACGGTTGCACCGCTTCTAATTTATACTCCATGCGGAAAGCGAATGGCTGCCGCGACAAACGACTCCCTCCTCCTTCCTCATCGCTCTCTCTCTCTCTCTCTCTCTTTTTTATCGGTTCTTTCTCTCTTCTTGCAGAAATAATTAATGATTGTACAATTTATTCTTGTATAATATAGCTTTTCTTTCATTTTTCTCTTAAGTATATTAAAAGTTTTTTTTTTAATTTTTGCATAAGAATTAAATAAATTGTTAGAAACAGTAAAAGTTATTTAAGAGTTAAAAAATAAAAATTAGTAAATCTATATAATATATATGTATATATACGTAAACTTTTAATATAAAGTTTTTATTTTATTCATTATTATTTTGTGCCATGTTCTTAATATTATAATTTTAAAACCAATTATTCTTTTTCGAAACTCTTTAGATTAATTTCTTTTTTCTTTCAGATTGTAAGATTACGAAGTTAGGAAGATTTTTACAATCCGAAAAAAAATTAACCTAATACTTTTCAAATATGAATAATTGATGTTTAAATTCATCTTGAAAGTTTTGCCTCAGTCTCCATTTTATATTCTATTCCTTTTTTCTTTTGCAATGACCTTTTTACTTCTTATGGTGAATGTGCTGCTTCATGCCAACGTATTTATTAAATGATTATTTTTTCTTGTATTACTGTTCATTTGTAATTTCATTATTTCGATCATAGAAAACTTTGACACGTACTTACACATACAAATGTTATTTTTTCATTCTCTCTTTCTCTCTTGTAAATTCGATATTAATCAAATTGCGCACTCGCATGCCAATCCTATGAATCTCTTCATAGAAGTAAGAAGAAATTTCTAAAGCATAATAACCCTCTTTCTTTCTTCTTCTTTCTCTCTTCTTGAAAGAATAATTATATATTTTATAATACTTATTTATTCTCTACTCTCCACGTTTTTAATATTATCCTATTTTACTTTCTGTTCTTTTTCCTTTGGAAATTATTTTTCTGTTTCTTATTTGGAGTATGTTGCTAAATGCCTACGTATTTATTATACCATTTATGTTTTTTCTTTTTTTATTTGTATTACTACTCATTCATAATTCTATTATTTTGTTTATACTCTTTATCTCTAGAAATAAACTTTGTTTTTTTTTTTCACTTTCTCTCTCTCTCTCTCACTCTGATTTTCTCTCTTTTTCTTTCTTATGACCTCGCTATTAACCAAATCGAGAACTCGTGCGCTGATCTACCGATCTGTTCGAAGCAAGAGGCGATTTATAACGCACCGATAATAGATAATGGCGGCACGCCGATTGTGGTTAGGCGATTTTATGGGCTTGCAGTATCATTTTGCACGGTGCCAAGTCGAAGCAGGGTTTTTGTTAGGTCGCTGAGAGTCATTTGCGACAATGAGCGATTCCGCAAATGTCGATGACACGGCCTCGTGAACGGAAAGGGTCATTATGTCCGCGGTACGTTCGCGAACCGTGAACGATCGTTGGAAAATTATTGCTCCATGCGCCACCGCCCGCTTGGCCACCCACTTGACCACCCGCTTGGCCGTTCTCTTGGGTGTAGCCATAGATATACCGCGATTTCTTTCGTTGACGTCCGATCGAAAACGAGTAGGCTCTTGGTTCATACCGAGAACGAGAGGAAATCGAAAGTGAAACCCCTTCTTTACGAAACAGTTAACAAAAGCAATTTTATTCACTTGTAAATCGAATAATTTCTTTTTTTTTTTTCTTTTCATCTCAAAAAACATTTAACGAAGTTAAGTTGGGCTAATGTTGTTAATTTTTTCTTCTTTCTTTTTCTTTTCTAACGAACGGAGAAAAATGTTAATGCGCTGTATTTAAATTTGCAGGTCATTATAGTAGGTTATCGGAATTTTCTGATATTAAATTTTCAATAAAAAAATACTAAAGATATAAAATATTGATAATTCCGACATTATTTATTGACCGATTCAATCTATCGAGATACTCTGTTTTTTTTTCTCTCTAAAAGAAAATTACTCGATATAATTATCTTTTGAATTAAGAAATCGAAGAAATATAAATCAATATCATTGAATCCTTCTTTTTAAAGCAATTAACAAAAATAATTGCATTATTTTTGAAGGTAAATAAATTTCTTAACTAAATTAAGTTAAACAAGTTAAATTTTTTTACTTCGAACGACCAATAAAATGTCATGAGGCGTTATATAAAACATATCGAGATATTTTGTTTGTTGTAAAAAGTATAAGCTTAAAATAGTATTCATTTTGCATTTTACTTATACAGTTTTTTAATTCTAACAATATTTTAAGCCATGAACAATTATAATATATTTCCTAAACGACAAGTTGTAAGATGTTCTACCATTTAAAAATCATGGCAAATCATATGTCCGGGATTCTAATGATTCTAATTATTATTTTCTTCTATATTCTTTGATCTGTCGCTAGCAGCTGTTATGCGTAACGGTTAGTTTTCAACGGCATCTCAGAATGATCGACATTAACGGCACTTATTAGCTTTTTTTGCTTTTATTTAATGTAACACCAAACCTATACTATGCTTTTATGATCTAGAATGACGATGCTCTTGAGTTTATTATCGTTGATCGTTAATACGATCTTCGTGTTTATATATACAAGAGGAAGTTAAGATTTCGATTAGAAAAATATTGATAAAAGAGTATGTTGATATGTTTTCGGGAAAACGTTGAAAATGTTTAAATTATTTATCATATTTTCTTTTATTTACCATACGTGTATACATGTGTGTGTGTGTGTGGTGCTTACGATGAAATCTAACGAGTTCTATTTTCGTGATATATACATATATATATATATATATATAGACGTACCTACAATCAATATCATTATCTTAGAGTCCGGTTACATTCTTTTACTATCGCGTCTCACTCGAGCAAACTCGATCGACTCCATTACAGAAAATCGGAGTATATCGATACCGGTGATCGTAAAAATCTATAGTCCTTGACTCCATTAAGACCACATATTACCTACTGTTATTATATTTATAGTATATAATATATTGCCATAATTTAAATTTGATTCAAATTTTGATATGGTACGACGAGCGGAGAAGATCCATTTCGTAAATTTTATAAGACTGAGTCTCGTTTTTTTTTGCTTTTGTTAACCCTTTTAATCGTTCTCTATTAACATATCTTTTTTTTTTTTTTCTTTTTTTTCATTCGCGACGAAAGTAACTTCCACGATAGATATACATAGATCGATTTATCCGTCGATAATCGCTCATTACTCGTTGCGTAATGAAGATTCTCAATTTGTCGAGGAGATAACGGTTTCCAAACACGAATTATCGGAAGCTCTCGGTATTCTCATACGTATAATAACGAACGAGAATGCCAGAGAATTTTTTTGCGTAATATATAAGTGATATTTCTTTGATCGTATCTCTCTAAACGCTTATTCGTACGAAATAAACGAAGTTCTCCGGTATTAAAATGCTAAGTGTTCCCTCCACTTGCCGGTTTATTTGGTTAGTTAAAGCGAGCCGATTCGTTACGATCAATTAGAGTAAAAGAGAATGATAAGTTATGTAAGACGCCGCGCATAAATCTTAGTTATCTACGATATCTGAAAAACGCACACACACTGCCGGGTGACAATTAACGGCTCGATTTATATATTATTAGATATACATACACACATATACAGACACGGGGGCAAGCACAGACGCAGACACATACGTACAAATGCATAGGTTTAATTAATTGAGAGAGAGAAAAAAAATCACGGACTGTTTTTACAAAAATAAAATGTTAATCGTACGAAGAATTCGCTACTTTTAAAGTAGAAATATTTAACGTCGTTACTGGAACGCATCGATCGTATTTCCCAATCATCCCGCTCTTTCCACTTTCTTTCGATTTCTCGTTCTCCACGTTCGAAGGAATTTCGATCGATACGTGAACTCGCGGAACGTCGGGGAACCAGCTTAGGACGTGATCTCATTATCGGTATAATTATTAGCAATTACGCGAAGCTCTCTGTGCTATCTATCGCTGTTACCGTTTCGAGACTCTCTCCTTCGATTCGACGAGGAATGCCAAGGATTAGACTGGTTCTGTCGTTCTTTCTAATTCTCTCGTCATAGTCATCGTATCTTCTTCCATTCTCTTCGTTAATTCGTAATCTGTATTCATAGTACTACTTATCTTTCTCTTTTCTCGATTAGTAATCTAATACTTACGAAGTATTAGTCGAAGAAGACGCTGCAGCAACCATTTGGATCGCCTTTCTCCGCGTTATGTGCGTTCTTCGTAGGTAATAATCCTTCCTAGAGGAGAGCACAATTAAAGAAAACGGGTGTTCGCTGTGTTTCCTTCATACATTTTAGCGGCAAGCATCGTTCTTGCTTGCGCAGTCTTTCATTCTTGCGACAGACAATTCCTTGAATGTCAGGTTAAACATACATAACGCGACTTTTCGCGTTTCTTATAGTCGTAATAATCTGAGAAAATCACGAATAGAGAACGGTATTGCTAATTTGAAACGTTTCGTTTATCGAATTTCATTGCTTTTCCTTTTTTTCTGTTTTCTTCTTTTTTTCTTTTTTGTTTTTTTTCTTTTTTTTTTTTTTTCTATTTTTTTTCTGTTGTTTTTTTTTCCACCAAATTTTCGTTCTATCAGAATGACGTGATAAAAAACTTCGCTTAATCGATCGTCGATCGTAAATAAGGACCGATACAAGGTCCAAAACTGGTGTTTCTTAAATACCGGTTTTTTACAAACCGTTATTACTGATACCGATATTTTATCGATTTTTTTTTAGATATGATTAAGACACATTTTTCTTTCTTAATAATTAAAAACAATAAAAACATATTTCACAAAAATTAATTTATAAATTAACAACGTCCTTAGATGATATTAACTCATGTTAATAACACTGTCAAAGCTAGAGAATAGTATCATGGATAATTCTATTTTTTTTTCTTCAACAACTTTGATAAAAACTATTTTGATACTATATCGGTTTCAGTACAATTATGTCAATATAATATCGGTAATAAAACAATAATAATTTTAAATCTTTGCTTAGAAATATCTTAAAAATTGTAATAAAATAGAGAAACCGAAAAAGTTACCAATAAATATCCATAAAAATATCAGTATTCTTCGAATATCGGTATGACGTAATACCGGTATTCTCGTTTTTCGGTTTCTATAACGGTAAAAAGGTACAAACAAAAAATACCGGTATAATACCGGTATTTTTTTATTTTGGTAGAAGTCCCAGGTTGTAAGTGAAACGAAAAGTTTGGAAAGTAATTTTTCGAATGAGTAGTCAACGCTCCACTCGAATTCCAGTTTATTAAGAATATAATAACAGAGAAGTTTATTTTCTTTCTAATTTTTATTGTTTTCGTTAAGAGGGAAAGCTGCAGCAATGACATCGATGGAAGAATTTTTTTATCAATTTTGTTTGACAAAATCAGCAAGCTTGTAAAAAAATTATATTTTTTTTAAGTAAATAAACCCTTTAAATGCATATGGTAATACTTTAAACTTTTTGTAAAAACTCATATTTTTAAGTGTGCATCTGAAAATAATCTTTCTTTTATATAATAAGCATTCTGTGCGAACTTCAAATAAATCGGATAAAGAAAAGCGTTTAATCGATAAGCTTTGACAAGCCAATTTTTTTCTTTCACATCTACAAGAAGAAGAAACAATATATAAACTTATAGTATAATTTACACTAGTATAATTCTGCGTAAGTATAACTTATACTTAGCAAACATTAACCTTATGCAAATCATACGATATGAACTAAAAATACATACTTATATATCGGCGTGTAATTTCAGTTACATGGCGTAATAGATGGTTAAAATTTAATAGTCCCATGCAAACTATCGCACGTAACTTCACGACAACTGCTACAGCTCCGTTAGTAGCTCGAATTTTTTTTTTTTTTTTTTTTTTTGTTTTTTTTTATGTAATAATTTTAAAATATCTATATTTTCGAAGGTATTAAGAAAATGCGAAAAAGAAGAAAAAAGAAACATTTTCAAATTTTTAAACCGTCACAATTGCTCGCCTCTTTAAAGGAAAGAGAAATAGAAAGACAAATAAAATTGACTGAACTACCATGAGAAATTTTTCCATGATCTATGGGTAACCCAATATCTTTAGTACTCAACCCGCTGCTACAAGTATTGTTACCTGGCGCAGGTACTCGAGGTTTCGTTGACTTAGGTTCGAGAGTAATACAAATAAAAGCTGGTTATTTTCTCTTCTATTTTCATGGTGACTCATGAGGAACAGTTTACTCGGTGATCTTGCTCTACCATGTCAAACATCAACGTTGATTATCGTTGTGGTAATACGATCTCTCTTCTTTTCTTCTTCTTTATCCTACGACCGTGCTACGCGATTTACGATTACGATAATGCGCGACGTTTATGGCGATTGGAACGTTGTTTCGTTTACGCCTTTCAACCTTTTTGCGCTTTGCTTCCGACGTGCATCTTGAAAGATACTGTCGAAGACGTTGTCCCTACGTCGATTCTTGAATTCGTAAGTAATTTATTTTTGGAATCATCGATCGAGTACAACTTTGATTTCTACTGAAATTCTTTCCTTAACTTTTGCGAATGTTTTCTTTTATAAATACTTACAAAGAAAATTAAACGATTAGAAGAAATAGGAAATTCCAAATTATATATTTAGAATGCATAATTAGATATGTAATAATTATTATGGAGCCAAAGAGAGAGTGAGAAAGAGAAAGTAATTGGTTTTATAAAATTATATTTAAATGCTTAAAATATAAACTTATAAGTATTATGAGTTTATATTAAAAAAAGAAAAAAAAAAAAATACACATATATAATATAATGCACAATATAACACACATAAAATATAATTGGAATATCTCAAAAATAAATTTAAATCGCGTTACTTTCGCTACCACACGTTCAAACTATCCTTCTAAAAACATAAATAATCTTGAGATTATTTTACCTTCTTTGTTTATTGCCACGTATTTTAGTACTTCTCTTTCTATTCTGCAGGCCTAACAAAGAACTGATAACTGGTATGTTTTTGTTTATTTAGTCGAGCCTATTGTTTTGCGATTCCAGTTGGTGCTCGTGAATAATCATACCATAGCTTTATGACGTACTTTTTAAATATATAAATTTTATTTGTAAAATGAAACATATTTTAAAGTGAAAAAAGAAAAGATCACGGAATAATTTATTATTATGTGAGAAAAAATAGCTCGAACAATTTTCAAAATAATTTGCAAATTATTGTATTTATCTTGTCATAACGTAAATACACAGTTAATCATTATCAATTAAAGCGAACAGAAACTAGTATATCATATTACGAAATTATCTTTGAAAAACAAAGAGAGAAAAAGAGAGAAAGAGAGAGAGGGAGCAGAAAGGTATATCTGAAATTATAAATTATTAATCATAAAAGAAGATCTCGCGACTATAATTATAAAACATAAATCCAGGTGCTCCTACAAGAATATAAAATAGGAAGATTGAATTCGCGTGCGAGATATTTCGCGATCGCGTTTGATTTTAGAATTGTTTTAGAGCGTAGCATTTGCTTGACCGCTTATCGTCAATTTCCTGGTAAAATCGGAGCTCTGCGTCGAGGTTGTAATTTTATTAACCGACGTGCGATAACGGAGTACGCGTTTAGAAATTAACGATGCGTTAAGAAAGTCTGGGCATGCTTCTCAAAGCGATTGAATTGGGTCGGTGTTAGAAATAAAAAGAATAAAAGAACAGAAAACAAAACGAAAGAAAAAAGAGAAAGAGGTAAAAAAGAAAAGAAAAGAAAAGAAAAGAAAAGAAAAGAAAAGAAAAGAAAAGAAAAGAAAATGAAATCTTAATGGAGCACAGAAACGGTCGGCTCCGATTACTTACCAAGTTAACTTCCGAGGACGCATCCTTGCGTAGAATCACGTCACAAAATCATTTTCTTCTCTTCATTTTGAAATCGCATATAGCATCGGGTATATGAAAGAATTTTATATTTAAGTTTAAACGGAGTTCCGTATCTCGCGAACATAAGGCACAATCTTATCGTGTTTTCTCGAGTGCAGCGTTGTTTTCTCAATGGCTCATTCTTTTAAGATTTACGATATTCTCGGAGCTTTTATCGCTCTTGAAAACATTCTTGCCAATGTCACCAAAGGAAGGTGGGCGTCTCCGACATTTTGCATTTTACACCAACCGACTTGGAATTAATAATAAAGGAATTTCATATCTCTTCGTTCCCTTCTTTTTCTTTTTTATTTCTTTTATTTCTTCTTCTTCTTTTTTTCGTTTTCTTGGAATCCACGGAACGATTTGGCATTGAATACTTAAGAAGTTAAAATATGCCATATAAGAAATGTTCCATTTTGCGTAAGGATACTATTATTAAGGAAGTTTAGGGGAATGTAATAAATTTAATATTATTAATTAAAATATTATTAAAGTGGAACAACACAAACTCCAGTAACTAGTCGATATATAAAAACATTGTTTGTTTATATCATACGTGTAATTTAAGGACAATTTATCGAGTCTATCGTAATGTTTCCTCCATAAATATCGACACTTGACAATCTTGTTATTGAACCGACGATTTTGAACTAGACAATAATTACAAATTTATAAACGACGAAAGAGCCAGATGACACGTTAATGCATTGCAAATAAAGATTTTCATTATTTATGACATTCGTCAGTCAAAGCCTAAAATAAAGCATTGTTACAGTTTAACCTACTTCAGAGTGAAATTTTATTCCCACAGTGTACCTTAGAACAAAGAAAGAGAAACACGATTCAATAGAGGAAGCAAACTATCGACGTTAGAACGATCCATTGATTATTCATTTGCGTATTGGCAAAACTTGCCACACCGAAAGGATAATAAGAAGTTTCACAGAACATTTTGATATTTAAATACAATGTATTCGCTTTAATGCGATCGTAAATAGGCATCTCGAGTCGTTTCAGGCTGCTCTCGAGCCGGGTGGTTCGAGAGCACCGAGTGCTAAAATCGAGTTGGTGTGTCGATAGCGCGAACACGTTCGAGACCATTTAGCACTGTCATACTTTGCGAGCTAACGTTTATTCCGTTGTACGCCTGCACGACACTCGTAACTTTCTCCCGATACGACTTATCCAACCCTCCTCCGTTCCTCTGTCCCTCCGAACCTCCTTCAACGCCAGACATAGATCGACCTCTTGGTACAGCAATTCTACACGCAGACGCACACGCACACACAATGTATCGAAATTGACATTTGGAATGCTAATGTCGATTAGCGGTATCGATACTATCGCTCACGAGTACTTACGTATGTTCCTTCGATTACGAGTCTCGAAATACGTATTTATCTACGTAATACGTCCGTCCCTCTGTCTGTCTCCTCTCGCGGAAGAGAGAAAGGAAAATGATCGCTAGACGTACGTTTTCTTTTCTTTTCGTTTCTATTTTCTCTTACTTTGGAAATTTTTTAAACATAACCGCAGGCTACTTTTTTCAGTTTACTCTTGATACAGCGACAAGTGTAATAAACGATTATATTGCGAAATTACTTGATGTAGAATATCCAAATATCGTATCAAAATGTAAAAAAGTGCGTGGTTACTCTACCGTTGTAAATTGCTGGATTGATTGATTCGGTATAGATATAAAAAATAAAATTACGTGCAACAACGATCTTAACGACGAGTTACAGTTTGTTCCCGTTTCCAACTTCAAAATAACGAGTATTTCAAGAATTAAGTAAATCTTTTTTAAGTCGTACGAATAGACGATTTTTTGCAAACTTGAGATATTCAAATATCCTTTTGAATTGTTACGCTTTATATTAAAATCTAATGTATGCGTGTATGTGGCTACTCTCTGAACAATTGGACAGAGATCAACTTGAAGTTTACATAAGAGATAGAATTACTTGCGAGCTATCAGAAAAGAAAAATCTACCAGGAATTCCAGTTCAATTACGTTTTCGGCATTATAATGCCGAAATATTTTAATAAATTCCAAAATTTCTAACAAAAATTGTACATGTGCTACGAAAATGATTTAAACAGTGTGAAAATATTTCACAACAACATTTTCTAAAAAATACGTAGTTTCAAGAATATTTAATTGTGACATCTTTCAATAGGATCATTTCACTTAAATGAACAATTTTTGTTATTGGTACATTTACAATTCCAAGAATCAGGGTCATCTTAGGCGTAACTTTACAATTAACCCGTTTCGCAATCCATTCTTTGATTAATGAACAGTTTACTCCATTTTCTAGCGTATAATGTGCGACTATATTTTGAAGTAGTATTGATGTGAGCCGTCGTTTTCCTTTTACACACACACAATTTATTTTTTTATTGCTTTTTTCCTTTAGCCTTATGACCCTTAATTCTTTGTTTAATTCAACACTGCGACTTTTTCCTATTCTTTTTTGCATAATAGACACACAAGTACCGTCACCGGTATTAAGATATCCACGCGTACATCGATATAAGACATAATACGGAAACCATAAAGAATAATCGATAAATTCTTCTATTTTAAGTGCTACTCGGGTGGTTTGTTCCAAATAGATATCAATTTTAATCTGGAATATTGAAAACGTACGTACGATCGTATAGAACAACGTAACAGTGCACAAATTTTCACTTGGAAATGTTTCCAAGTATATGATCTTCCCTTCCGCCCATGATAATATTTCTTAGTGGCATCCGTCAAACCATAGACGGCAAGACAGTTTATATGAAGGTGTATAATTTTCTCAAGTAGATCACACCATATTATTGGATCATCACACAAATTATTCCCAGTAAATTCATGCATTGCATCTATCAAAAGATGAGAAATAGTAGATGGAACATTAATTATCATTAATACGGGAGCGTCCTTCATTTTTTCTAACATTTGTCGCACAACGTCTTCTAGATTTGCGACAGTCATTTTTACCATCTTTTCTAATGGCGTTATCACACAATATTCTCAAGCATCGTACGAGCGATTCACGATAGAAAGCAGACCGATTTCAAATGTGAAATTAGATTTGTTTATCCTACTTCTGATGTGATAGAAAATTGTCTTTATCTGAAAAAACGACCGATTGGATATATATGGCACTGGAGCAAATGTCGTGTACCTTGACACGTTCTTCTTTCTAGAGAGTTTGAAACTCTCCCCACTTAGTGAACAAATAAATCCCTTATCTTTATCTTTCCGGACGTTTCACAAAGCATTGATAACGTCTGGTTATCGGCCAAGTGCGTACATCTCTAGGCGACAAAACGTTACATTTATTATCATCGTTTAGAAATCGTAATATCCACGATACTTAGGCTACGTGCGCATTATCGACCAATTGTCGATAAAAGAATAATAAATAAATCAGGTGACTAAACTTGACGACTTGAATTTGTCACTATCGTAATATTTAATCTCAGTGAAAAGTTTACGCACAAGAAATGAAAATGATTACTTCGGATTTCTTGAAAGCTACAGTGTTCGATGTTCCAAGAGAATTGTTTCTACTACGACGCTTGCATTTTATTCAACGTATTTAACTAGTTTCAGTGAACAGCGAGTTGCCTGTTTAGGTCACTGGGACCAAGTTTGCATACGCGCTTATTATTCCCGATAATTATTAGATTATCTAGGATCTCTTGATAGAATTTGAAAATCGATTTGGACGTGTCGACGTCTTCCACGAGGTGTATCATACAGTAACATACATAAGTACGTACGTTTATGTACGTTGTTCGCGAACGATGTATAAGTGGGAAACGAAGAGAGAAGGGAAAAGGCTTATCGCTCGTGAATGCGAATAGGGTCATAAAATAATACGACAGATGACTGTTGAATGTTGCGTCACGTTCTTCGTTGTACTCGGTGTTCGTGACACCATTCCTGTGGGTTATTACGATTAAAAAATCAAGATTAGAACTCTTAATATCACCGTCTAAGTGCAGTCTCAGATTAGATGTATTTTTTTCTATAGGATTCTTCCGCAATACGATATTATCGTATCGAATCTCGAAACAACGTCACGATGGAAAATAACGCTTCCTCTTGGCAATTTCTTTTTTGTTTATTTTTTTGTTTGTTTTTTCTTTATTCTTTTGTTTTATTCGTCTTTTTTTTCTTTTTCGTCTCTTAAGACCCAACGAGTTGTGGCGTAAAGTCACGTCCGTATCTACGTACAAACAGAGCCACGTATAATATCGAATCGAAGTGATCGATAATTAGAGCGAATCGAGATTTCAAGATTTGCAGATACACGTGCGCACGAAAAGATCTCGTGAACGTGCCTCGCGATATATTGTATAACACCTACATGCCACGTGTCCTAATAGGATTTGCGTTTGCCGCCTTTAATGTCATAACAGTCGCGAGGGCCTTGACGTCGGGCGAGACACGAAATTAATTTGTTACCGGAAGACGTAGGCACGTTCGTATCTGCCCCCAGGAGAAGGGAGTAGAAGGGGCCTTAATACGTATCCCGCTAACATCCTGATGGAATATGCCGACGATCGATAAGTTTTGTTGCCAGGTGTATTTATAGCACACAAAAGAGGTCCTACGCATACGATCATACGTCCTTTTCGTAACGAAATAGTTTCTCTTTTCTTTTTCTTTCTTTCTTTCTTTTGTTTTTCTTTTGTTTTTTCTTTTGACAGTACGTTAGCAAAAAATGAATAGTCTCGATCGAAAGAAATCAAATTAGATAATGAATAAATTGTTGTTCAGCTTTTTTTCTTTCACTTTTGCCGACTCTCCACTTACGTAAATTTCTAAGTATAAATATCATATCGGAAGATAGTGAGCGCGTAATATAAATTACAATAAAACGTTGTAGCGTGTAGAAAAGGAAAGCATAATACGGAGTCCATATCATTACGGTTAAGAAACGCGGTAGACAGTTATTACGGATCGTTCGAATCCTCCGGGTGTTCTTTCTTGCGCACAAAAGCGTACTTATCATCTCTCGTTGTTTCTCTTCAAGAGTTTGTTCATTTTGTTTTTTTTTAAGCCACGCAAAGATCAAACGGGTACGTAGCCTTGAGCGAAGAGTGCAAAAAGGAAAAAAGAAATAAGGCGAGAGAGAGAGGGCGGGAAAATATTTTTTGTACTCGAAAAGAATCGATTGGGTAAGCAACAATAACAAACGCAACCCCGGTGACCATGACGATCTGAGAAAACGCTATAATAACATGGCATCGAGCATCGTCTCTTGATTTTCTCGCTTGAAATCGAGCTGTATTACGAAGCGAACCTTTCGAAGAATTCAACGATCGCCTCGCTTACTTCTTTTTTTACTAGTAGAAGTCGATAACTTCGTAAGAATCTTGAAAGTTCAAGATTGCCTTATTCGTCATTGTTGTTTTACCAAGGAACTGTCATTGACATGAACGCATTTCACACTAAACGACAAAATTCCATTAAGAGAACTTTTTGACATTTCTATTTCAACTAGCCCCACTCTTGAAATGTGTACCGTTATGCGTCTTTCGTCGTTACGTTGTTGGCGGATATGGAAAAGAGAGACCATTCTTATAAGAAT